TAAGTTATTTTCCACGTAATTAAAGATTTTAAACAAAAATTGATTTCGTGGCAACTTAACGTGCCATCTGGCACTTTCGTCGACGGAAGGACGAAATTGGTCCCAAAAATTGAAGTTTAAGGATTTTTTTAGTACTTTTTGAAGTTCAAGGGTAGTTTTAGTTCAAAAATGAAAGTTGAGGGACTGAATCGGGGATATAACCTCAGAATAACAGGATTGGACCAGAGGAGAAAAGGAGAAAAGAAGGGTTTTACTGGCACGTGCTATTCAAGGCCGCACATGACTTACTTGGACGCGTCAGGCACCTACAGAAACGTAATGTTGCCGCTCATCCTAGCCGTCCATTAGTGCCTTCTCACTCTGGATCGTTGGCCGTCCGTTACCCCTTCAATTCAACCACCAAGAATCAATGAAACAACAGAAATGATAGAAGAGGAATTGGAAAACAAATAAAATAAATAAATAAATAAAATCAACATTCTTAAAATTAGAAATTGAACACTTAATCAATCAACACCCTACCTCCCAATTCCAGCAAATAGCGAGGATATTTCAAGAAAGGTTGAAGTAGGTTCTTATGATCCCACTCCACTGATTCCCACCATTCTTTTGACTCTTCATCTATCCTGATTTCTCTGAGATGAGATGGTTGGCCATTATCAAGCAGGGGAAACTGCACAGGGATCCTCTTTAACTCCAGACATCTCCATATTTGAATATTTTCAATACAATCACAAACCATAACTCCTTTGGCACTGCAGATGCTCTTTAATTGGGGTAAATTCCACAAGGACAATATCCTTAACTTGGGAAAAGTGAATTTATCAGATGATGCATCTGAATCTGATGATGCTATTATCTCCTCCATTTGGCTGCACGCAGAAACCCTAATCTCCTCTAAGTTTTGGAAGGCCTGCTGTAGCTCAAGTGGAAGCAATTTCCTCATTCCTGGACAAATTTCTATTGCAAGTTTTTTAAGATTGGAAAAGATGTGCGGTGGTGTTGTTGCTCCTTCCACTCTCACAAGTACACTCAATTTAGGCAATCTCCGAAGATCCAACACTTCAAGCTTATCCAGTACTGGATAGGAGGATGAGTCCAAGTCAACGACGCACTCCATATCTTCACAAGACTTAATCCAACAATAACTCAACTCGGTTGCCTTTTCTAACAAAGCTGCTTTATTTAAGCTGCTTCTCATGTTTCTACACTGCACTATCTCCAGCCTCTGAAGGTTATCTGGAATCACCATACATTCTTCTCCTAAGTCACAACAATTAATACTAACCACAGCTTCCCTTTGAGTAGTCGACGAATATACGAGTCTTTCTCCTACTTTAATAAAGTAATCAGTAAGAATTTGGAAATCTTGAGACTCGACAAAATAATTGTAGCCTTGTATGTCATCGAGTGCACCACGAAAGGTCTCCAACTTGCTCATTCTCGCAACCTCTTCTCCTTCTATCTTCAACATTTCAAAAACCAAGTACTGGAGATTGGAAAGGTTTGATAACATTCCCATCGGAATCTCTTTTAGATTGCGACAATACCTTAAATCAAGATATTCCAGACTAATCAATTTCTCCATGCCTTGAGGGACCACCTCAATCCCAGATCCAAACAGATCCACCTTCTTTAATACCGTAAGCTTTGCTAAAGGAGGAAAATACCTTAACCTATGACACCAACTTAACCTCATGGAAGAGAGCTTCTCCAAGTTTGAGATGGAATTAGGTAAAGCTTTAATACCAGTAAAAGAAAGATCAAGAACCTTCAGTTCAGGCATACCTTGAAAGAAGGATTCTGGGATCTCTGACAAATTTTGATTATTTGACAATATCAAAGTTGAAAGAGTTGGACACTTTGGGGACAACCCAGGGGGAATTTTTGATATGTTATTCCCTGCTAGAGACACCTTCTTAAGATCATTTCCCCACCCACGCTCATCTGGCACCTCTGTCAATTTCATACCAGCTTTTACCATATATCCAAATTCAGGACCGATGCTTTTGATAGCCATGTCTCTCAGTACATCATGCATCTTGAAAGCATCACCACGCCAATCAACAGTTTTCTCTAACAAACAATTCTTTACTAGCCTATTTAAAAAGGCATGACCCCTCTCATAGGTTGCTTTTCTACTCGCCAACCCGTTAATTAGTCCTTCATCAATCCACCCTTCAATCAACTCTTCTCTTGAAAAGGAATAATCTTCAGGAAAAAAGGAGCAGTAGAGAAAACAATTTCGGATGTCAGAATTTTGCAAACGATCATAACTAAACCTTAGCCTCTTGAATATCTTTTCATCTGAACCAGTCACACTCTTCACCCGTTCTCGTAATTCATTTAAGGCATTCTTCCACACTTCAACATCATCTTCTTTCCTCATACTCTCTGCTATCACAACAATGGCCAGTGGTAAGCCACCACATTCCTCCACGATGAGCTTCAAGATTCCTTCTAAATTTGGTACTTGCAGAACATGATGCCCAACTTTATCTAGGAATAAGTTGAGAGACTCCTCAAATGAAAGGGGCTCCACTTTGACTATCTCACAGAGCATTTTTTGGCACACATCAATGGATCTACTAGTGATGACTATTTTGCTTCCATTCTGAATTGTTGGTTCTGGAATTCCCACTTCAATCAAAGAAAACACTTCCCAAACATCATCTAGGATAAGCACATGCCTTACTCTTCCCAGAACACTCTTTAATTTATCTGCCCGCCTCTCTGTATCCTCATCCCCAGCAAGTCTTCGTGTATCATCTCCAGCAATAGTACAAGCAATTTTTTCTTGTAATTTAATTACATCGAGTGGGTAAGATACAGTGACCCAAATCACTTTATCAAACTTAGCCTCCCTTACCAGTTCATCATTGATATGCTTCATAATAGTAGTCTTTCCAACCCCACCAATCCCACAAACTCCAATCTTTCTAACTTCATTGCCCACCAAGTATCCCCTGATTTTTTCTTTTGCAGAATCTTCACCCACTGGATTATCATTTGACATGATGACTCCACGGGTCGGAGGTCTATCAACTACGAGACCATCAGGAAAACAACCTTCTACACGGATTCTTTTCACCGCCTCAATTTTCCTGCAAACAAGTTTTCCAAGATGGCCCCGTGAGTACCACTTTACTCTCTGAATCTTTCCTTCAATGGCTTGCACTTCATCATTGATTTGTTGTACATGATCAAGCCAGCTTTGTACCTCACGTTTCCTTTTTTTCCCCCAAAGAACCTCAGTTTGTACTTTTGAATTTATATCCTCTTTGTGACTGTTTAGATTTTCACATTCTCTTCTCAGATCACTCACAGCTTCATTAAAATTTGAGTGATAATCTAGATAGGTGCAAACTGAGCTCCCCAAACACTTTACCAGCTCCATGATAGGCTCTACCAGAAGCTCCATTGAAGAAGACCCTATAAAATGAAACATCATGTGTATTAGAATGTATACAACAACTTCAAAAACCATGCAAGATATAGGAAAAACTAATGGTTAATAGGATGAAAAAGTGAGACCAAAAAGGGTTGGCAAAATTCACTACCTCTTTTCATCACTCAGCTTGTCATTTAAAAAAAAAAATGAAAAAACTGAACTAGCAATCAATCGAAAGCAAGAAATCTAAGGTAACCAAATTGTGCACCAATAGAGAAATCTAAAATTGAAGATCTAGATAGATAGTGTACCTGCTGCAGGTTTAGCAAAAGGAATCGAAGAACGTTGGACACTAGTACCAAAATTAGGCCTAGCAAATTAGAAGAAGCAGCAGATCTGCAAATCTGCAA